TGGTGCCATGCCAGGCAGTGTGTCATTCTCTTGTAGCGCTCGCTCTCTCACTGCCTTCCAGGCAGTGCTGACTCATGGCGACCCTCCTGTTGGTTTCCAAGACTGGAACTGTCTGCAGGAGTAGAAAGTCCAGTCTTCCTTCCATGGAGATGCTGGTGGTTTCAAAGTGCTGACTATGCAGATCACAGCCCAACTCGTGCCTACTACACCATGCGGGCTCCTCGTTCTCTTATCTATAGGGCCATTATTAGTCACAACAGAGTCCACAGCACCTAACTACAACAACAAATGCTGAAAAGTTATTAAGGGACCTGAGATCATCTTAAAGTACAAAAAGTTGAGTAGCCCCATAGAAAGGACCCTTGTTGTCATGGAGCCCATAGTCTATTAGAAAGAGACAGGTAATACAAAACCAGCAAATAAGAGGATTTGGTAAGTTGTGATGAAGTATTATAAAAGTGACTCTGACAGGTGATATGAGTGGAAGTGGGGCTGGTGGGTAACTTAGACGTGATTGTATTTGGGTTTTTTAGTGCTGTGTGGAGAAGGTCAGGTCACCTGGTAGTCCAGGTGAAAGATGGCGGTGGACTTGGAGAAGGGGAAGGGGAGTTGGGACCTGTGAGCTGGCCCAGGATCACTTCTGCACGTGGCCCTCTTAGTGGGACATGGTTTTTGTGCTGTTGTAAACAGCTCAGTGGATTTAGCAAGCAGATCTGTGGTAAGCTGGTGAAAGGGTGTAACATAACATCTCTCTTGATAAGATCGATCTTGGAAGGGTAGCGGCGGACCTTTTATTACCTGGTCACCAAGTGACTCATAATCAGGAGCGTTTCCCTAATCTAAATATCTGTATTTCATAAAACACAGTGTCATTGTTGTTAGCAGCCCAGCTGGTTTCCACGTATAAGAACTTCATGTACAGCAAAAACAAAATTCTGCCAGCTCTTGTACCATTGTCATGCCTTGCTAGGTTTTTAAAAGTCCATTTAAGCTATTGTATCAATCCACATTTTTTTGAAACTTGGGACTTAGTGAATACGATTAGAATTTATTTTAAAACGGATGAGTTCCGTTTGTTTAAAAAAAACATAAAACTATATTTGATTTATCAAAAGCATGCACTAAACCCTAGTAATTCTATAATTGGCATCCCGATGACGCTCCAAGTTCTCCTAATAACCCCCCAGAAGCTCCGACTAACCTCCCTGTGAGTGCACGGGGGAATCACCATTCTGTGTTTCTTCTGCTGCAGGGTCTTTCTTGGGGATGTTTTTTAAAAAATAACATGATTATGCTTTTATACTATAAGTGTGTTTTAAAGCCCCTAGAACAGCTGTGGGATTCTCTTAGGTCTGCAGTCCTTCCATGGAAGCAAGTCGATATGCTGCTCACACGAGAAAATGTTTGTATGTCTTTTTGATAGGAAACTTCTTTTCTTTTCTGCATTGTATCTCATTCAAAATCAGTCCCCCATGTGTTTCCCAGGAAACTTCCTGTAACACTACGAAATATCTCCTAGCACCAGTGTGCTAAAAATACCATAGTTCTCTGATTCTTGACTTCATGGCTCTCCCCTTTTTGCCTTTCTTCAAGGGGAAGGTTGACGTTTTGTAAGAGTTGGGTGTTACAGAGCAGAGGATTTGGATGTGAACCATTGGGTTTGCATGTAGTTGGAATACCAAGGTCCCTTTTACCAGTCTCTTTGGCTGGAAAGCGTTTTGTTGCTCCCTGGATCTTGTTTCCTCTCCTTCATAACAAGTTAAGACCACAGTAGTCAAATGGCAAGTCTAACAAGCATCAATCTCCCTCCTACACCCAGCCCTCTCCCCACCCCCTCCCCCGGGCACTGCCCAGCCAGGAAAGAAGAGTTCAAGTTCTATCCTCCATTGCTTGCCTTCCAAAATGAAGATAGTTCTAATGAAAACGACAATTTTTGGTTGTGAATGTTAGTTCATGTTTTCTCAATGGCAGTGTGTGCTTAAAACCCCACAAACTTACTCTTATTTGAATTCCACCCAATCATTTACAAGAAACTATTGCTTTTGAACCTGCTGTTGCAAGTATTGGAATCTACAACATTAATAAACCAAAAGGAAAAGGCCAGTGAGGTGTTTGTGTGGATCTTCATCACTTAGGATCATGAATTACAACCTCAGACTTCAAAAACGCCTCCAGAGAAAGCAATCATTGGCTTCCATCCTAGTAACTGATTGCTCTCTCAGTGACAAAACAAGAAAGAAAAAAATTCATTTAAACAACCAATCCTGGATAATGTCCTTCTTAATGTGAAATCTTAATGTTAGAATGTAAAAAAAATTCTCAAATCATGACAACTATAATCACTTGACACATCTAGAAGTGTCTCAAGGAAGAAGATGAAAGCCTTGAGATAGATTCATATTTTCTAAAAAACATTGAACCATGGTAGTCCGCCTGGGTTTGGGTTTTTGACGACTACTAGATTCACTTGAAGGAGCTTTGGGGGTGTTGTGGGTTTTGCATTTGGCCAAAAAACAAAAGATCATCGAGTCCGGTGGTCCTCCGGAGAAAGAGGAGCCTTTCTGTTCCCCAAGAGGTACAGTCTCAGGGAGTCACGGGCAGTTCTAGTCTGCTTTAGAGGGTTGTTCTGAGTCAGAATGGACTCCGTTGCCATGAGTGAGTGAGATTAATTTGAAAGCCAGCAGGTTGGCAATATACTAATCCATGCACAGACTTTAAACGATCATAGTTCAGTGGTTACCAGGTACTATTCAATATTCAATCAACAAGCAAATTGCACTCACTGCCGTCAAACTGGTTCCAATTCATTGTGACTCAGTAAGACAGTAGAACTGTCTTGGGAGGTTTTTGAAACGAAATCTTTACAATAGGAAGCCCCACCTTTCTCCCAAAGAGCAACTGCTGGTTTTGAACTGTCCACTTTGCGGTTCGGAGCCCAACTCATAATAACCTGTGCTACTGGGCAATCGAGCCCTTAAAAAGTAGTGTATTCCATGAAGCTGTACTAAGTATTCAGGCATCCCAGAAGTCAGTGATGTCGTATGCTTGCTGTTTTCTCGAAATTTTACTAACTCAGCAGGGTCGAAGCATGATCCGGTGTCCTTGTGCTTGTCTTATGCCAATTTCTATAGTTTTCACATCTTGTAAGGCCACAAATCTGGTTAGCAGAATCAACCAAGTGCATAAGAGGATTCCGATTATTGTTTTCTCACCTCATTAACAATAGCATCCAATCCATGTAGCACAGAAAAATCTCAATAGCTCAGGGACATGTCAAATTATTATCTCTTTCCTAGTTGGTATTTATTGCCCGACAAAGGCAGACAGATGTATAAGTGTTTCAATTTACATGCTGTTAGCTCAAAACACTGCCTACTTACGCTTTGGAGTAGCATGGTCATCTCATGAGGTGTGAACTTGGGATATTTATTTACTATACATGGAATATGTATTGCGATTACCTGTCAATAGGAAAAGGATAAAATCGATAAGACTGTGGATAACATTTTCCTTTTATTCCTGTGACCTTAGATATTTAGGTTTCAATAGCTGGAGAAAAAATGTTTGCTTTGCTAGGTAGCAGATCCTTAGGTAGAGATACTAGCGAGCTCTTCATTTCTAAAAAGAGGACCCCTCTTCCCGGGGAACTATGGAGTTGGAATTTAATGAAGGTTACAAGATGCCATTATTAAATCTTACCTAAGCTTGTTCTCTTTACATTCAAATCCACAAGTTCTTTGAACATTTTGCTTAGGATCTAGTTTGATAGAATACATTTTTCCTTTTCTTCCTAGTCTTAGGCTTGATAGACTTATTTGTCACTATAAATTCAGCTGTGCCTTTGCAGTCACAATACCTACAGGTCTGCCCCTTTCACTGATACGCAGTTGGTGGAGTTATAAAACCCTCTTGAAAACGAAGGCGTTAACTGTAACCACCCTTTCTATTCATCTGTGAACATGCCTGACAGACAAGGCGAGCCCGTTTGTTCTGTGCTGTCTGACATGCAAGGGCTCTTCAGTAATCACTTTACCTGCTGTAGTCAGGGTTCAGCTGGGAACTGGAATACGGAGTACATTTTGTTGAAGTGGGATCCTATCTTTTTAAATTGCTGATGGGGAGGGAGGGGAGGGCCAGTGAAGAGTCATGGATTTAGACTTACAAAGCGGAGCTCCGTTTCCTTTCGAAGCAGCATTCCACTCTGAGCCGCTGTGTGGGAGAAGGGGGGATGTTGTCTGCCCCAGTAGAGACCCATCGTCTGACATCCGTCATAAGGTCACTGTGAGTTGGAATCAACCCAAGGGCAGTGGGTTTGGTTTTTGCATTCTTTACCGTGTTACAAGGTACATGAGGATAAACTTGGGTTCTTGGAAACGTTTTCATAGTAAAATGTTTCTTTATATATTGATATAAAATGGTCCTTACTAGTAAAATGTCACAGTAACAAGAGCCAGTTAGGGAAGTAAGCGAAAGCCACCAGCGTGTTTCAGAGGTGCCCAGGAGAACACAGTCTCCTAACCATGACGCTGCCTGGACTGAGGAGATGTGGTTTTAGGCATTTGAGGCCATCGCTTAAGGAGTGATTTGCAAAGTAACGGCACTATGTTTGAGCAGAGGAAACAGAAAAAAAATTGGTAAAGCAATTTATTGTAATCGAAGAAAAAAACAGATATATGCTGTTACTCACCAAGTATATTATCACTGCTATTTCTCATTAAGAAAATTTAAAATATCTTGATAGAAAATGACAATCTCTTCAACCAAGTGGTTATAAATGAGTTCTTTCACAGTGCTGCTTTACTGCACTGCTCTGATTCAAAGAAGTTACACCTTCTAAGAAGTTGTACAAATAACTTATTTTGGAATTTAGGAGTTTCTGAGTTACGGGGATTTATCTGTGAAGAAGATTTAATAAAGAAAAAAAAAGTTAAGCCTAAGTACAGTGAAGAATACTTAGGCGTGTCTCCAGTAATTTACTCCTGTTTTTCCCCCCTTCGCAGGCGTGCACAGCGTACGTGGAGTTCATGATTGCCGTGGCCACACTGGTTCGTCAGGAAAGGAATCTGCCCGTCAACCACAGCCAGATTTCTTTAGAAATGGAAACTGTGATGGCACTGGAAAAAGACATTGCCAATGTAAAGCATACTTTCTCGGATACACTGAATAATCTGTAGCTATCTCCACCCCTCCCACTTCTTCCTATCATATTCTAAGGGTAAAATGGAAATTCTGTTCAACTCCTTAACCAAATGATAAAAATACATGCCTCTTAGTGGATCACTGACTTTGAAAGAAGATTGGAAACTGCAGAATTATCTAGTCAAGTGGGAGTCTATCATCCAAGATGCACACTACATTTGGCAAATTAAATTCCATACATTTAGTTACCTGTTGTAAGTCAATTTCATCAAAATCCTGATGTTTGTAGTCAAGCTGTCGTTAAGATGCCCTTGAGAATCGGCACACCTGACTGGTCACTATTCAAAAAAGTTGCTTCAGCTTTTATTTGTTCAGATTGACTCTATTTTATTTTCAAGTTTAAGGCGATCACAGAGGTTGCCTCTATCCCTTTGAGACATCACTTTGGGAAGACATGAGCACCTGGACATTGTCCACGTGGCGAGGGGACACCATGAAATTGAGACCTGCAGGCTCCTGAGCTCGAGGAGCTCAGATGAGAGACTTGTAGCAAATCCTCAGTGATGTGACCCCGAACTTTCTCTACCCTCATGATGCCTGGGACCTTTTCTTCTCTGACATTCCCTTGATGGTTTCTGCCGTCTTACTGAGTGACCTCTGAGCCTGAGCAGTGCTAGGTGTTGATTGAACCCTTAGTCGATTCAGGCTCAGGTCCCTCTGACATTGCAAACAACAATCCCTTGCTACTGCCATTCTGACCTCATCAGTCTTGGGAACTGAAGACTTTGAAGGCTGACTGTAGGTTCTCTAGAATGACATGAAAACAGAACTCGCCAATCAGAACCAGCTGGTCCTTGGGGCTGCAGCTGGATGAGTAGCACGTTAAGAATAACACAATCTTCCAGGCGGTTCTGTGTTGGTAACAATCGCTAGAAGAGAAGGGTGCCCTACTGGGGTGTTCACCCCTTGCACCTTGCAAGCCATGTTCTCCCTTAAGCTATCTCAGCTCAGTGTTAGTGCTGTATTATTGGTACCTATTCCTTTCCTCTCCTAGCATCCAAGATTCGACTTGCATCCCCAAAACATCTTTAGATGCCCTAAGTATCTCTCACAGTGCCCAGCATGGTAGTGTATGCAAGGGACAGTCAGCAGATACTTTTTAAACAACTGAATAACTAAGTGCCCCAAAAGGGAAATGAAAGCCAATGTCACTGAGAAATCACTTTCACTTCTAAGCCTTCATCTTTGGCCTCTTAATTTTTCTTGTTTTACGTACTAACCTGGGAGTGACTGCTATTTTTTTCTGTTCTCTTTAGAGATTCAGTGAAAATACGTAATAAACCTGAGGTTATTGATTGTAGGGCGCTAAACTAGTTAGGCAGAGTCACAAAAATAGAAGTTGTTACTCTCTTCAGATACCTTGAAACCTAACTCTCCGACTTAAAAGGAATTTTGTGCCTAAATTCCTGCAGAGACTATTGATTTCAAGGGGGTGGAGACTGGATTTTAAGTGGGATACTGGCTAATGGGGAAAGATAATATTTGAGCAACAAATTGTGCATGATTATATCTAAGAAACTTGTCAAGCGAGGAAAGATCTTCAAGAAGGAAGGAGCCAACCATTCGCTGTAAAAGAAGACTGTACATATTGTTTATGTGTTTGGGCAGGTATTCAAATAGAAAATATGTCTTAAGAACTTTAAACATGACATCTTTGAAAAGCTCTTATATTTCCTGTTGCTTTTTTGATATGACAATAAGGTATAAGACAAATGTAACACATAAAGTTTTGATGTATATGTCTGAGGGTTTGGATTTTTTCCTCTTATAGAGCTGTGGTTTTTAAAAGAATTTTTGGTTTTTAATAACAATCAAATTTTAAATTCATAGGCTACCGCTAAACCAGAAGATAGAAATGATCCAATGCTTCTTTATAATAAAATGACAATGACCCAGATCCAAAATAACTTCTCATTAGAGATTGATGGAAAGGTAAGTAGCAAGTTCTTTGTACTCTTATTTGTCATTTCTTAAAATTTTAACATTGTGATGCCGTTTCCTAAAATTAATTAGCATCTATTGAAATTGATTGAACTTCAAAATTAATTTAGAGGATATCAACCATTTGACTTAATGACAGCACCCAAAAACTCTCATTAGATCATTATGATTATGATAAGTTAGAATTGAATTTCAAAGGTAAAATTCCTTTCAAGCCAACTATTTAATAATACTAGAAATTTTAGAAAAGGGCAGAAAATGTGAGAGACCAATATAGACTTATCTCACTAGAACAACCAAATAGAAAGGCACTCGGTTTCTTCCTAACACTGAACAAGAACCTTTACTCCTGGCGCTTGCCACGTTCTCATGAAGGCTCTCCATGGAGGTGTGCGGTGCGAACGAATGGAGATGTTGTCTCAAAGTGGGCAGAAGAAACTTCTTCTTCTTTTTTTAAAATCATTTTATTGGGGGCTTGGACAATTCCTATCACAATCCACACATCCATCCATCATGTCAAGCACATATGTACATTTGTTGCCATCATCATTCTCAAAACACTTGCCTTCTTCTTGAGCCTTTAATATCGGCTGCTCATTTCCCCCCTCCCTCCCAAGAACCTTTCTTAGATTCCATTTATAACGAGCAATTGACATCATACTTGTAATTCCGTAGCTAGTGTGCACTGGGTTTGGGAGCCTACGTATTTATTTTTGTGTCGTCTTGCTAAACATGATCAGGAAATGAAGCAGCATTCATGAGAAAGGGTTAAAAAAAACCCAAAACCTCATTCAGTGGCACATTTAGGGATTATCTTTGGTGCTAATTATTGTGAACAATACTTGAAGATCATACGTAGCCTACCGAGCTAAGCATTTCTCACATACAACATTTTTATATAATTAGTGCTTAATAAATATGTTTTGAGAAAGAGTCTCAATCACCAAAAGAAACCAAGAAAAGGACACAGTACTTCATACTTGTTTAGAAAGTGACTGATATATTCATAATTTTACAATAACAGAATATTGCTTAACTTAAATATTCTGAAACACTAAAACGTGGCATTAAAAAAAAGCTTTTCATGATCTCCGTGTTTTTGTTTTCTCTTATTTGTGTTGATAAGTAAATAGCCACACATACAACGTGAGAAATGAGAGAAAATCAAGAAACCTTCTGACAACCCCACATCCACCTCTGAGGATTAGAGGTTCACGAGGAAACACTGTAGACCAAATGCCGATGTTTAAAATGTGTGTTGTTTATCTAAAGCAGACCGTTCTTATTGTATGTATTATAATGTCACTACCTCTCCACTAATATGTATTATCTTATTAAGTTTATTCAAAGCTGCCGTTAATCGCTTCTCGGTCTTTTGGCTAAGATCAAGTGCAGCATCTGTTCTTATCAGTTTAATATGTGATACGTTCTCTATCTGAGGACAACATAGTAAATGTATTTTGCAAGTAGGAGTTGGCCTAGGAGCTTGCTTCCATCCGCTCCACGCATCAACCTGGTATTGTGGTACCTTCAGGAATGGGGCAGCCTCTTGGGGGGGGGGGGTTCCTATAAAAAAGAAGGAAGAAAAAGCTGTCCGTAAAAAAAGATAAATAGTACATTTTCTTTGCATTGAAATATGTACAGAGATAAGCACTTATGGGAGAAAGCTGGGCTTTCTATTTTCATAAGCAGGGGTCCTCAAACTTTCTAAACGGGGTCAGTTCACTGTCCCTCAGACCCGTTGAAGGGCTGGAATATAGTTTTTAAAAAACGCTATGAGCAAATTCCTAGTCACACTGCACATATCTTATTTTGAAGTAAAAAACAAAACAGGGCAAAAACACCCGGCGGGCCGGATAAATGTCCTTGGCGGGCCGCATGTGGCCCACGGGCCATAGTTTGAGGACGCCTGCGCCCATAAAGAGTTACAGTCTTGTTAATCCACAGGGGCAGTTCTACCCTGTCCTACAGGGCCACGATGAGCTGGTATCAACTCCGTGGCAGTGAGTTTGGATTTTTTTGGTCTAAGCACAAACATGTATTTCAATTCTTGCCTTAAAAATTAAAGGAAGGCTTATTTGTGTGTGTGTGGCAAAACCATATACAACAAAACATTGTTTATCTGTTTTTACATGTATAATTCAGTGATAATAAGTACAGTCCCTGTGTAGGGAGCTACCCTTTTAAAATGGTTTCTTTTATTTTTTTATTTTTTTAGACCAAGAAGATGTCATTAGGCTAATTTCTAGTTGCATAGTGTTATTTGAGGCTTTATGTTTTAATTCTGCTATCTAAACAATCATGTGGTAGAACTTTTTTTTTTCTCCCCCACACTGATGGAAATAATTGAGGGAAATTCCCAAATAAATAGCAAGCTGGCTATGGTGTAATGATGTAACTGGCACCCTTGAAGGTCTGACCCTCTAGCCATAATTGAATCTGAGAGCCAAAGGGAGAAATCTATAATTACTGAATGCTTTGTGCCTGCTTGTTTCCCCAGCCATTCAGCTGGTCAAATTTCACAAATGAAATCATGTCAACAGTGAATATTAATATTCCCAACGAAGAAGAAGTGATTGTTTATGCTCCAGAATATCTAACCAAACTGAAACTCATTCTTACCAAATATTCTGCCAGGTAGGTATTTCAGAATGCCCGTACCCTCAAAATATGCAATTCATATCACTCTTGAGAAGCTGTGCAGCCTCATCTTTTCTGTTGCTGGGTGGTGGGGTTTTTTCCACACAGAGATCTTCAAAACTTAATGTCCTGGCGGTTCATAATGGATCTTGTAAGCAGCCTAAGCCGGAACTACAAGGAGTCCAGAAATGCTTTTCGCAAGGTGAAGAAAACAACCAAACCCTCTCTTTTCTTAAGACCTGGAGCATAAAGAGATACATGGGTATCCCGTGGGCACCACTCAAATGTGGTGAGCGTTGTCAAGAGGCAAACTGCTTGATGTTGCTTCTTTGGCCTATGCTTAGGATGGATGGCCTGGGGGGTGGGGGTGGGGGGATCCATGTCCGCGGCTCTTGCCGCCTTAGGCTTATCTCCTGTGGCACTACGAATGTGTTGTAAGGTCAGGGTTTGCAGTTGAGCCATTCATGAAAGAATACCAGCTTGATTGTGCCTGTGGGAAAAGTAACTGCACTGTTACTTTTATCAATGAATGCAATTTTCTGGTCCTCTCAGTGCACTAGACATACACAGATGGGCTACATTCGTGTCAACAGGTGGATGAGAGTACACCTACCTGGAGCTAGCCTAGGGGCTTTGCTTAGACTGTAACTACATTATTTAAAAATATTATTTTAGGCTTATTTTGAGAGACTAAGGAAGAAAGGACTCTAGCCGACACGATGTGTGGCGTTCGTGAATAGAAAATCACGTGGGTTTGGTGTTCATGAATAGTTAGCATGGTAGTTGGCGGGCATGATTGATGGAACGTTTTCTGTTTTTCTCCCTTAAAAGAAAACGTAGGCAATATACATATATATTTTAATTAAACAATGTAGAACTGGTGTCCTGACCTATCTTGAAGCTGATATTGGTCCTTAAATTTATACATATCTAGTTCTCCTAAAATTTAGCTAAAACATTAAGGAGCAGAATTGTGTTTTCTTATTTTACCAGCTATCCCCTCTGGTACATTTTTTGAACATTACTTCTCATTTATGTTTATGCAGTCATAACAGTGTTTTTCCCCCTAAAGCTATCTAAGAGGCTATTAACTTGTAATGGCCCAAAATTTCATTGGGCTGTATTACTGAAGAAATATACTAATTTATATATAAATAAACAATCCAGCCAGATTGCGTTTTACTATAGGGCAGGGATGTATGACTGTGAGAAGTGATTAGCTTCAAGAATGTAAAGGGGACATAAAGCATAAAACGTTAATAGGAAATATGTGTTCTTGCTCTGCACCGACCCCCAACTCTCGGTCAAGCACCATTGTCTCTAACCTTCCACAGGCACTTTATGGCACGACATCTGAAACGGCCACCTGGAGACGCTGTGTAAACTATGTCAATGGGAATCTGGACGATGCGGTGGGGAGGCTTTACGTGGAAGCAGCCTTTGCTGGGGAGAGTAAACACCTGGTAATGGTTTCTGCGCCAGGAACGATCAGCTGTTTGTTTGCGCTGCTGGGCAATTCAGTAGTCCATAATTTGGCTATGATTTTGCTAACTGGGCAGAAAATCTCTGGATCCTAATTTGCTATTGTTTCTCAATAAATCTCACTCTCCTTCTCCCAAGGGTCTGGCTCTTCCTGTTAGTTCAAAATCCACTTTCCAGAAAAAGTGTATGAAAAGTACTTAGCCACAATGTCTATGGGTATAAACTGTTTGATGAGTTCAATTGAAGTAAGAACAAGGGTTTTCTTAAAAACCTAGAAGGTAAGCTAGGATTTATTTGAGGTATAACAAATGCAGCCAATTGTTTTGTTACTGAGTTGAACACAATGGCACATACAGATACAGCAAAAGAATCTACTCAAGTGATACTTCATGTTTAACTAAACTCCGCTTGGACAAGGGCTGCTAGTTTCTGTTAGTGCTTTTTATGGGGTACTGGAAGCTATTACATTCTGAAGATGTCATTTTTTATTACTGTATATATTAAGATGTATTTAATCAAGAGTGTTAACAGGGGTAGTAATGCTTCCCAAATGCCATTTGTTTAGCTCGTGGTTTGTCTATAAGTCTACATTTATTGTTATTGAGTTGCATAAAGACAGGTTGTAGCTCCATATGTTGAAAATTCATAGTCCAAAGACTAAATACCTGACCTGACCTTGTTGTTTGTTCTCTTGATTGGAGGTTGAGGACTTGATCAGACAGATCCGAGAGGTTTTCATTCAGACTTTAGATGACCTCACTTGGATGGACGCCGAAACCAAAAAGAAGGCTGCAGAAAAGGTAAGAGGCCAGACAGGGCTCTCAGAGAGAAATTTCCTTATGGAAAATTAGGGGGAAAAAACATAAAGAATGCACTATGAAGATGCAAGCTCCTTCAAAATGGTACTATTTCTGATAGTACTTTTCATTGATAAATATTTTTTCCAGGGTTTTAATTTTTTCATGATCTCTTTGTAGCCAACACCTACTCCCTGTGCTCCGTTTAAAATGTTTAACAGGAGTTTTGCATCAAAAGTATTTCAGACATTTTTGGACCTTGAAAGTGGTTTTAAAGTACAGGGCTAATATTTGCATTTCCCTTTTGTCTAAAAAGTCAGCAATCAAGGGGGGAAACCTGTGTGAACAAATAAAGACTTAAAAGTTATCAGCAGTTGCAAGAGCCCTGCCGGTGCAGCAGGTTACACCCTGGGCTCCCGAGTCCACCAGAGAACGTCTGGTTGCAGAGAAAGACGGAGCTTTCTCCTGCTGTAAAGAGTTATGAGCTCGAACAAACACTGGGACAGTTCTCCAGTGTCACTCAGTCAGAATCGACTCTCTGGCAGGAAGTTAGGGTTGAGTCTCTACTAACACTTCATAGAGTCCCTTCTTTTGTGAATCATACTTTAAAAACCTCTTTCAAGGTCCAAAAATGTCTGAAATACTTTTAATGAAAAACTCTTGTTAAACTTTTTTTTTAAATTAAATAATCATTATATTAGGGGCTAATACAACTCATCACGTTCCGTACATACATCATCTGTGTCCAGCATATTAGTACATATGTTGACTTCATCATTCTCACAACACCCGCTTTCCACCCGAGCCCTTG